CCTGGCAGTGTACAGTCCTACCACATCACATTTGTGGCTTTTGCTTTTTAGGGCATCCTGTTTTCATTTAAAAGATGAAAAGCTTAATTAGTGCCCCCAGTTCCTAGATTTTTATGTCATATGTTTTTGCCAGTGGTGTTAGAATATTTTGTCACTTAAAACTCCAGGGGGAACCGAGTGAAATGCCTGTCACTTTGAAGCAGTTCCTTTTATCATGATGTTGACTAGGCTACGAGGAGTAGCTCAAACCAGAGAATTACTTCTTGAGAAGCTGATGGAGGCAGGGGGGAAAGGTAAAGGGTTGGGTATTGGGGGCGCAAACTTAGATCACAGCCCCACACTCATCTGGACACTGTTCTTAATCTGAACTGTTGACAAGGCCATCTGCCTGGCATCACTGTCCTGTGAATTGGGAGAGGTCACGTGTTCTGCACACACATGCCTGATGGTCTGTATTGGTGCTAGCCAGTAGAAATAAAGTGTTGAGTCTACTGAAATATTTTGTCTTTTTTTTTAGTACTAAGTCTTTGAAAGCCATTTTCTCAGAACAGTTTGGTTTAGACTAACCATATTTTTATGTGTTTAATAGCCAGCTGTAGCTAGTGGCTACTGTGTTGAAAGGCATAACACTAGGTAATCAATAAATTCTCATTTCTTTCCCCTTATATCTTAGGAATAAAGTTGAGTCACCCACGCAGGGGAGTGGCTGTTAGGGAGAATCAGAAGTCTGCCCTCCTCATGGCCACATGTAACAGTCTGGTCTTCAGTGATAACGCATGAGGCAGGTAAACCCATGCGTTTAACTCTTACACGCAACCTGTGTATGTCTCACAGCAATTTGTAATCCATCTGACTGTTCTGATTCTTGGTAACACATGGACTAGTGAGGAAAGATGTGAGGTAAGAGACCTGGAGCCAAAGATCCAATCTGTTGGAACTTGACATTGGAGAGTATTGGAAAACCATGGTGCCAATAGTCCACCTTTTGCAAAAACTCACGTAGCAGGGGTAATGATCTTTGCAATGCCTGGTCTTGCAGAGGTAATGAACAGATATATTTATTCCTCCCCATTAAGATATCAGTGTCTTATCTTCATTAGGTTGTTCTAATGGAAGTATGACTACTAATTAGTCTTAAGATTCTGACTGCAAGGGAGGAACTTCGGTTCAAACAGGGTGTGTTGAAGGAATCTAAGTCTCAGACACCTAACACCTGGATACTTCAAGTTTCAGTGAGAAATTATCTGGCATCAAGACAAGTGAATATGATACTCTTTATAATCTCATTCATTCATGTGTCTTTTCAGGAGGTAGTGTAGCTGAAACTTGTGTGAATGTTATAATCAGGGAACAGTTTGTAGCAAATTCATTATGTAGAATCCTGTGGGTTGTTGGAGTCTGAAAGATACCACTTTTGAAGCCCACCTACTTTGGTGTACCTTGTTATTCTATGGAAATATAGATTTTGCAGATGTGTCTTAGAAATCCAACATCTCAGAGATGTTAGCTATTACTGACAGGCAGTAATGGTTGCCAGAAACCAAAGAAATTTCAAAGAAATTGTAAACATGATGTTGGTTGATAAACTTGCTCATTCAAGTCTGTAGGATAGACTTGGGTCAAGTTGAGGCTTTCTGCAAGAAATGACAGAAAGCTAGATTAAATGGTGAGTGTTTGATTCCTTTTTTTTTTTTTTCTTCCTAACAGACATCGTACTTCTGTCTTTGGATTCCAGACAAGATGAAGGTATTTGATGATCTGAAACACTCAAATTCTTCTAAAGCATCAGGTAAGACAATGAAGGAAAGAAGGAAACACTGCAAAAAAGGCTTTTATTTTATAGGCACCACTGCAAAATGAGGAACACTTCAAAACATAGAAAATAATAATTTATTTTAACTTCATTTACTTAACTGTTTATAACTAATCATGATTCTGTGAATTTGCTTGTAAAAGTCTCCCTTTGAATCTACAAAGCAAAGGTTTTTACTACAATGAGCACTTAAAATTCCACAAACCTTCTCCATCCACAACTTTCCTGTACATGCAAAGTCCTCCAATGAGTTGCAGTATTTGCAAACATGCTGTAAACTCCCACAAAGTTGCATTATATTTTGCCTTCTGTTAAAACCTTTACACTCTCTTGGGAACTTTAACCAGAAAATTGTTAAAATGTGTATCCGAATTCTAAACACTGCTGGTTTGGTTATGTGCGTTATATATAGTTAACCACAGAGTTTGGTGGTTTTGAGTTGAAGCTTTGACCTAAATAATATATTAATGGTCACTCCTATGAAACACATTCAGCAAAGTAACATCATAAAATAGAGTTCCATTAAAATACATACCGGCAGTCATATCTGTGTTTTTAGCAGAAAAGGAAAAAAGCGTGTTTAACTTTCTTATATGAATATAGTTTAAACAAATTATTCTGTGAAGGTATGCTTAGTAAAAGATCTTTTTGAAATTTAAAAACTTTATGTAAAAGGTAACGAGTAAAAAAGTATCCTTGCTGTTTGAAAAAAAGCTGTTGGGTTAATATTGCCTTCCAGGACAGTAGTTAAGGGGGGGTTTTCGCCACTTAAAATAGAGTTGACACCCAGAGTGGTAGGGCTCGCTAGTTTGACTATAAACATGATGTTGCGATTTATCTTATATACAAAAACTTGCCGCATTGAACGAGGCAGGAATTGCTACCCCAACGGTAGTGTTCTTTTATGTACATAATGCAGAAGTGAAAATTATACAGTAGTCACCGAGAGGAATGAATTGTATACTCTAGTGCCGTCTGGGGATTTTGCGCCGTGGGTTAAGAGTTCTTGGATTGTCATCCAGTTATCAAATATCTTTTTATTCCTCTTCTTCATCATCTTTTTGTGGCTGAGTTCGAGGATATTCATCTCCTTCCTGTCGTCGGCCCCCTGCTGCTCCTTCAGGCAGTCGAGCCGGCTCTGCATCATGAACTCACGCCGCCGCCTCTGCTCCTTGGCCTTCACCACGTGCTGCTTCCTCTCCTCCTTGCTCCAGTAGCGCCCCATCTTCAGCTCGCTCACCGCGTCGTCGTCCGTGGTCATGCCGCTGCGCTCCTCGCGGATCTTGAGCGCGCGCTCCCGCAGCAGGCGGTCCCGCACCGGCCGCTTGGTGATGTAGCGCGTGCCATCGCTGCGGATCTTCACCTTCCACTCCATCCTTGGCTCCGACTGGTTGGCCGAGTTCAGGTCCTTGCACATGCTCACCAGGCTCATCTGGCTCTGCGCGTACTCGACGGCCGACTTCTGCTGGATCAGCTGCATGTAGCTCTGGTAGTGCTGCGCGTGCGCCGGGATGTGCGCGTGTTTGTAGGGCGAGTGCGGGAAGGGCGGCAGGTAGGAGCCGCCCAGCTTCGGGGTGGGGCTGCCGCCGCCGTCGTCTTCTTCCCCGGGCTTCCTCTCTCTGCTCTCCGGAGCCGGGCTGGGATCCAGCTCTTTCGGGGAAGGGCTGTAGTTCGGGGAGCCCCCCTCGGAATCTTCCGTGATGGAGAGCAGGTTCTTGGGGGACGGCCCGTAGGCTTCCGCGGCACCTTCACCCTCGGCCACCCTCCGCAGGGAGTTGTCGGGGGACATCTCCAGGGTGAGCGGGGTGCTGCGGCAGCTCTCGCCGGTGTTGTAGGCGCTCGAGCTGTCCTTGTCGGACTTCTCAGGCAGCTCGGTGATGTCGGCGAGCTCCCGCCGGCGCACGTCGGCGCTGGTGTTGTAGTTGCGGAAGCCGCTGTGGTGTAGCATCCAGGGCTCGCGGAGCTGCTCCTTGAGCTGCTGCATCTTGTGCGCGCGCACGATGCTGAGGCATTCCAGCTCGATGCTGCGCAGCTCCTCGTTGAGCAGCTCCAGCTCCTTGTCCACGCTCTCGGGGTCGCTCTTGCTGGCGTCCAGGGCGCCGCCGGGGTAGGAGAGGCCGCAGGGGCCGGCGCTCTTCACCTGGCACTTGAGCTCCAGCAGCTCGCGGAAGCGCTCGCACTCGTCCACGGGGATGCCCAGGTAGTCGGCGTCGGCGCAGTCGGCCGAGATGAAGGACTCGTTGCTGAAGGGCAGGTCGCCGCTGCCCAGGGTGTCCTGGCTGCACGTGAGCTTTCTCTGCCCGGCCAGCGGCGGGGAGGCCGCGGGCGCATCGTCGCCGTTGTTCTCCTGCTCTGAGCTCTCGTCGTTGCGCGTGCTCTCGTCTGTCCGGCCCACGCCGCTGTCCTTCTCGTGCTGGTTGGACAGGATGGTGGCCGTGTCTGTGGTTCCCCCGTCCTCCTCCTGCTTCTTCTACACGACAGAAAACAAGAACACGTGGTCACGGGGAGGGAGGCTTTTCCGGTAGGGGGACTTGGGTTGCTGAGGTAGTTAGCTTGAGGTTCCCCTAGGTGAGCCGCTTCACCTCCTTCTGGGAAAGGAGGATGATCACTTGACCTAGTGAATGACTGCGGCTCTTCCAGAATCTCTTACCAGGAAGCAGGAGGCACAGAGTGCCTAAGGCACTGGAGAGGTCCCAGCCTCGCTGACGACGGTGGTGACAGAGAAGGGAGGGGAAAAGGCGCCGAGCAGCTGAGGTTAAACAGAGGGAACTGCTTTCCTTTAAAAAATGTGACTTGTTTTCTCTGATCTGCTCTTTATTTTGGCACATTGTTTTCCAAACAAGTATCAGAAGGTCGGCGGTACCTTGGCATTACTGCTTTGCTTTCTAAGCCCAGCAGCACTCTGTTGGTCTGGGAGGATATCAGCTTGCTTTTCATTGGTGGGCAAACAGAAAAGCACTTATTTTCTTTTGCCAGCAGGTGGCTTTCTCAGGCTCCTAAGCATCAGGGGTGGGGTGGGGAGCAGATGTCCCTGCTGTTGGGGGGGAGGGGCGGGCAGTGGTACCTGCTGCAGGACGCTGGCCGTGAACTGCATGGCCTGGTGGTGCTGCTCCTCCAGCATGTCCATGTGCAGGTCGTCCAGAAAGTCGTTCCTGTCGTCATCCAGCCAACCCTCGTCCAGCTGGGGAGAGGCAGGCGCCCACACAGGCTTCAGAAGAGGCCCTTTCTGCTTCCGTTTTATTTGTTTTTAGGAAAGGACATTACCTTGGGGAACCACATTTCTAGGCTTCCTCCAGGAGTCATCCCAATGCGGTCTGCCTGTTGTTTGACTCTCCGGACGTCACTGACCCCATCCTTAAGGTAAAGCCCCTCCCGCCCTACACCGCACATCCAGGGGCGGCCCGCTTTAGCTGCTGCAGGGCTAAGTGCCTTCGCGCAGGAGGCCACCGAGTTAGGGGGTCAGAGGGCCGCAGCCCTGGCTCCTCTCCCGCTGGTAGGCCCGCACCCAAGGAGAAAGCACGGGCAGTTCGGGACAACAAAGGCAGGTCTGCTAACTACCTATTAGTCTTGGGCAAGGGCCTGCCACCTTTATCAGGCTCTTGTCTCTTTTGCTCGTCAACAGCAGACTAGTCAGGGGTCTGAGATCTACAGATCTGGCCTGCAGCTGCACCTCCGACCATACACAACCCCCAAATCCAGTCACATTTCTTACTTGGCCCTTTAAGAAAAAGTCTGCTTAGTAATGTTTCTTTTGCTTTTTAAAAGTAAAAACTGTATTACGGGTAAGATGTACATCGTGATGATTTGATGTGCATAGTGGAATAATGATTACAGTCAATTAACATATCATCTCACAGTTACTATTTAGTGTGTGTGATGAGAATACCTGAACTTTACTCCTAGCAAATTTCCAGTAGTCATTACAGTGTTGGTAACTATAGTTTCTCACACTCTGCCATTGTAAATGAGACCCACACAGGAGTGGTCAGGGTCTGGGGCAGTCAAACATTTTGATGGGCGTGACCCTGGCTGTGTTGTTTTCAGGCTGTTAGGTTTCCTCCTCTCTCCTTCATTGCACTCCCTGCATTAATGAAGCTCCTGGGCATGCAGTGTAAATGCCAAGGTGGAAATCTGCACCATCCTTAAAGGGCCAAAGCAAGAGATAGATTGAAAGTCAGATTACCTTTTCAGGGCACAGGGTACCTTCAAGTTCTGATTTAATATATTTTCTGCAGGGCAGGAACTCCGTGAGTGATTTTAGAACTACAGACTACATGCTGGAAGCCACCTTACCTGGAGTTCGGGCCTGGCAATTAGCAGTGAGAAGTTCTTGTTTTCTTCACTGGTTAGCAGAGCCACAGCCTCTTCACGATTCTGTACCTCTATCCCATTAATCTACAAAGAAAAAGGTGGAGGGGTGGACGGTAGCATGATTAGATTGTGCAAAACAATTCTCTACTGTTTAAGCCTGTATCCATTGCCCAAGCACAGCTGGAACAGAGAACTTCAGGCAGGCTGAAAAGAAGGCTGGTTTTCACAAGGAAAGGCCTGGTTCAGTCTGGTGCACTCTTGCTGTAGGAGACAGCCTCCAGAGGAGTAATTCACAAGATGAGCGGTGTGAACGGGAGTAACTGGGACTCCAAAAGGCAGCACTGAGAGAGACCGCAGTGTTGTGAAGAGGGAAAACATCTAAGCAATTTAACATAATTGCAGAATTAAATATACTCAAGCACGACTACCGATATTTTTGAAAAAGAAGCAATGGTCTAATGCGAATATGATAGAATTATTTTGGGTGTTTTGTGTTCCAAGTTTGACACCAACTTCTTTAGGTGGGACATAAAGTCAGATAAGTTCATCTGTACCATTTTTCTAGGTTATACACATAAACAGTATTATACAATACTTATATATATACAATATATATACAACAGTATTATACAATCACACCTGATCCCTCTCTTGTAGGATTTTTGCTTCCTGTCCTGGCACCTTTGAGCTCTGCTTGTCTGGAGGTCTCAGCTCCAGGGGCCACAGCAGTGGTCCCACTTACGAGCTGGAAGATTGAGCCTTCCATCTGAGTCTTACGTCTTATAACAGCAAAGGGCATCATGGATCTTGGTTAACAAGGGGAAGTGTGGCTTCTGCAGCACAGTGAAGGCAGAGAGGGCAGGTAAGGAACTCAGGGTTTCCATACCCAATGGTAGATGCTTGTCATTTGGAGGTCCTAGAGATGGTCATATAGAGTAAGTTAGAAAAACCAATGTCACATATTAATTCATGCCTGTGGGAACTAGAACAATGGTAGAGATGAACTTATCTGCAATACAGTAGTAGAGAAACAGATGTAGAGGACAAATGGATGGACACCAAGAGGGGAAGGGGTGGGGTGGGATGAATTGGGATTGAGATATGCACACTGTTGATACTATGTATGAGATAGGTAACGAGTGAGTACCTATATATAGCACACAAGACTCAGTGCCCTGTGGTGACACAGGGGATGCATGTGTATGTATAGCTATACAGCAGAAGCGAACAACATTGTGAAGAACTAAATGCCAGTAAAAGTCTTTGACAGATAAACTGTAGAGAGGTGGTACTTACATACAATGGAATATTACTCAGCCATAAAAAGAATGAAATATAAGCCATCTGCAGCAACATGGATGCAGCTATTAATAGATACTATCATACTCAGTGAAGTAGGTCAGAGAGAGAGAGAGACATGAATACCGTATGATGGCTTCGATGTGGTATCTAAAATATGACACAAATGAAGCTATTTATAAAGCAGAAACAGATTCAGAGATGTAGGAATAGACTGCTATTTGGCCAGGAGAAAGGAGAGGAATGGGTTGTAGAAGTTTGTATACATGATACATATATATAGAACGGCTAAAATAACAGGGTCCTACTGTATAGCACAAGGAACTGTATTCAATATCCTGTAATAAACCATAAAGGAACACATTTTAAAGCAACCACACATCAACAGAAGATGTTATTTGGTTTTTAATTTTTTTAATAGTTAAAAACAGACTAGCTGCAAGAGGAACAAATGGTTTATTTTACGTTAATTTTTATTGCAGCAGAGTTGCTTTAAAACGCCGTGTTAGCTCCCACCGCACAGCAGCAGGACTCAGCAGTGCACATAGGTACCTCCCCTCCCATCTAGGCCGCCACAGGGCGGCAGGTCCAGTTTCGTGTGCTTTACGGGAGGTTCTTATTAGTTCTCTATTCTATACCTCGTATCAATGGTGTATATGTGTCTATCCCAGTCTCTCAATCTCTCCTATCCTCCCCTTCCCCCTTGAGATCCATGTATTCTCTACATCTGTGTCTCTATATTCAGATGGCCTCATTTCAACTCCAAAGAGCAACAGATATCGGTTTATAGATAAAGTACTCTTAAAAACCATTCTATATAGTAGTTACCTGCTGAGTCAGAAAGTTTAAAAGATTGCTTAAAGTTGAAATGCTTGGCCCAAAATGAATCCTTCAGAGAAAGCTAGAATGAGCATTATTTGGGGTCACAAGAACTGTTGACCTGATTTGGCCTGTGTTGTCTTTGGTCCAGAGAGGAGGACAGGAAGTGAGACGAGCCGACTTGTATTGTAAGGCGCAGGGGTGGCTTGCCTGTTTAGATGGGGCCTCCTCTCTCTGGTTTGTATCAGGCCCTGCCATGCCCTGTGTCCTGGTGTTTTCCAGAGCTGGGACTTCGGCCCTAATTTAACTGGTCTGCCTCACCACACATCTAGTTTTGTGATACTGATAGCTATTTGTTAACTTCTGCATTTTAACCCTAAAGCTGTGATCTGAAGCAGTGTGCTTTTCAGTGAAGGGACAGAGGACACTGACCTACCTGGATAATGCGGTCTCCTTCTCGGATGCGCCCGTCCTTGGCCGCGATGCTGTTAGGGTCAATCTGAAACACACGGCACCAAGTGGCTAACTCAGACATGCACGAAAATAAACAAGAGCACTGTCCAAAGTCTGCCTCTGTCTAACACGCCATCATGCTCATCCCTCTGTTTTTGTTTTACAGAGAAATAAGACTCCAGTGTTGTGCCAGGAGACACAAACATGGACTGATACGTTTCCAAGCCCCTTGCAGGCCATGGTCCTGGACTCTTGCCCCACAACCCTGCTGACCCTGCCCACCTGAGGGGATGCAGAGGCACAGCTAACAGCTGTTCCACCCAGAAAGGAAAAGCAAAAGTATGCTGGCCTACAGGTGAAAGAGTACCTTTCATTATGTGGTATAGCAGCCATATTTTCATTATTTTGCCAAATGTGTATATTAAATTTTGGAAAGGAACTTTACAAACAGAATCTAGCTGAGACAAGTGGCATTGCACTTTAGAGAGATACCCCCAAATTCAGCAATGGTGGGCCAGCTTAAGCTTAGTGGACGAAGTCTACTCAACGGGATGGGTAGAAAGCCTAGTAGTCACATCCTTTGGTTCATCCCATCAAGATGGATTTTATTTCCTGATAGAATGGGGCTTGTGTGCTAGTAAAGATGGGCTGCATGGTGAGGTATCCATACTGAAATCATCTGCTTTGTATTGGCTTCTCTGGGAAGATGAAAATAACTTCCGTCTATGTATTGGGTTCGTCAAAAAGTTCACTTGCGCTTCTCCATGGCATCTGATGGAAAAACCCAAGTGAATTTTTGGGCCAACCCAATACTTTGAAGTGGCACTGTGAACTCAGTGATACACAGTCTAGCAAAAGAAAAAAAAAATCAAGAGAAACAGATAACAGAAATATTTGAAAAAGTGTAAACGACTCCCTCCCCCACCCCACTCAGTGAACTGGAGATGGGAAATGGGAGGCTGCTTTTCCCTCGAGGTTGAATCCACAAAACCAAGCAAACGGCTCCATTTTATGGCCGATTTGCAGGCTTCTGAAGGGTAATTTTGCCTTACGCGCCAACATTAGAACTTGACCCCTATGTAGGGTAGTTCCATGGAGTGTGATAAAGGGGACAAAGAAATCTGGCTGTGTCTTTCCAAAGACATCTCAATAAGCCAGAGCTGCTCAACACATTAGAAGGAAAGAAAGAATACAGCCTCTGTGTCCTGCTATGATAGGTATAAAAAGTGAGCCTCAATACCTCGCTTATATAGATGCCAATGTCGTCTTCATCATCTGTCCGGTAGCACACTGTGAGACCCAGCTTGTCCTGGCTGTTCATTCTGTAGAGGTCCACCTCCTAGACAAAGAAAAGGGCATTCCCTGTGAGACTCCAACAGGCAGTGATGGCTGGGAGGACGTCAGATGTTTTAAAAAACCTTTTGTTTAAATGATGAACTGGATTTCTTTGCATTTGCTGTGGGCAGAGCAGTTAACTTACTAAACAAAAGGTGATTATAGGCAAGAGATCAATGCCTAGGGCATTTCTGACCTTTCAGTCAATATAAAGTCATTTTGAAAATAGTTATTTTATTGATCCCACTGAAGAAAAATTATCCATATTTCACTCAGCATCGAGACTTCTGGGGTCGGTCTTTTCAAAAGCATTCTTTCAATGTCTGCCACCAACGACAATATTTCCAAACCCCAAACCATCCAGCCATTTCAGTACAAATGTTTCCAATGTGTTTGGTTAGATTATTTCATGTTGCGTTCCCTTAATATGTGCAGTAATAGAACTTGCAAACAGATTACACATAAATTGATCCAAGGAAGGACGGTAACGTGATAGCATGCAATTAATGCTTTCCACAACAGCTGTGATATTTATAGTCGAGAAATTAGTTTCAGACGCTATTACAACAAATTAAATAAGATAAAAGTGAAGTGAGCCCAAATGTGAGACACATGGGCACACGCAGCGCCACTGTATTTGACAATTAAACTGTGCTTCGGAATGAAGTCAGAACTTTGAAAAGGGTTGGAGCCTTGGGAACAAGAGGCTTGGTTCTCTGAAAGCATTCCCAGGCTCCATCTCCCCGCACTGCCGACCGCCCAGGTGAGACTCCACAGCCCCGAAGTACAGGCCTGTGCCAAGGGCCGCCTGCTAGTAAGTTTCCAGGCAGACCCCCTGGTCCGGTGTTCACTGCTATGCTTACCAACCAGGAGGGGCTCTGAGATGGGGCCTGTCTCTGGGACAGTTTCCTCACTCCTGGCTGCTCTTGGATGGTGGTGAGGATGTGGTGGTTTCTGTGGTGAAGCTCAAAGCAGTTATGTAGCAGACACTCCTGAACCTCCTTCCCGGGTGCCCAATACCACAGGCACTTTCTAGGTGGAAGGACTGGAGGCCCTAAGGCCCTGTGAGCAAGGAAAAGAGAGGTGCCCTGAGCGTGGTCACGTAATGGGGCCACCAGGCCAGTGAGGGGAGCTTGGATTTTATTTCAGCATGCTGGGAAGCCTTGAGCAACTTTTAAGTGAAGACTGCCAAGCTCTGGTTGATACCCTCAGCAGGCTTTGTGGCTGATGTAGAGGATAAAGTGCTGCTGACGAGTTGGGGCTCTGAGTGCAGCTCCCAGCTCTTTCTAGCAGCTTCACCATAGGGTTCTGTGGGCTTGCGACTGTCTCTTAAGCCTGTTTCCTCACTGGTGCATGTCATCGTGCCGCTTGGACAGGGTGAAGAGTGACTGAGACAAGACGGCTGAGCTCTCGGCACATCGCCTGGCCCAGAGAAGGTCTACAGAAAACAGTAAGGATAATGACTGTGTGCAGGTGGTTTCTTACCCGAAGTCACAGCAGTTATTTGTAGCCAAGTGTGTATGTTTCTCACGTCCCCCCACCCCCAATTAAGATAATTTTATTTTCTGAATATTGACATGTTAATTAATTCAGTGACTTCCTCATTAAAGCTGCAGCAATCTGGTATATTACCCAGAAATGAAATCCTATTATCTTTCCTTGTGTTTGGAGGAAAAGACTAAGCAATCATAGAGGCAGCACATATTTAACCGCAAGGGCGCATTCTTTACAGATACTGTGGGATAGCCCGTTTGCACGCCGCCCACATAGTGGGCTCACAGCATCCTCACGTTTCAGCCGCATGCCCAAGTCTCCACCTCAGGTCACACTTCATCGGGCGACAGACAAAGGGAAGACTTGCTCCGTTTCAGCGCTTCCTAACAGGTAATGTGGGCTTCCCTTGTGGTTCAGTGGTAAAGGACCCACCTGCCAATGCAGGAGACGTGGGTTTGATCCCTGGGTCAGGAAGATCCCCTGGAGAATCCCATGGACAGAGGAGCCTGGCGGGCTACAGTCCATGAGATCCTAGAAGAGTCGGACACGACTAAAGCACCACCACAAGAGGCGGTGGAAATCCGTGGGGTTTCATGACGACTTGTTCGGGTCCAAATGTACCACTGCCGTCCCTGAGCCCTGGCTTCATGGTAGAAAGAAGCCAGCTGGTTCTGGAACAAGAACATGTGCAACGGAAGCAGGGGGAAGGGTAACTGGAGAGGTTTTAAGAAGCAACTGAGAAAAACAGCAAATTCTGTGATGTGACTTCTATCAGAGTAAAAAATCATAATACAGGTTAGAGCTTTCATTGAATGATCGACCACCAAGGGGAACAGTTCTTAAGAAAGACCAAAAGGTACCAGAGCTCCGCTGGGCGTCATTCTAAAGGATGTGACGTGTGCTTCGGGGTCATGATGAGGTACGGGCAGAATCTGAGGGCAGGGTTTGGGATCTTTTATAGTACTGAGGCACTGTCCTGATAGCCAAGGATAAGATTTTCAGACTTGTCTCACTGACTAAGGCATAAGACTGGGTATTACTGAACTGAAGAGGCAAGGGGTGAGCTATATAGAGTCTTGCGCTTTGGTAGAATCACATATATTGGTCAGTGACATGTTAAAAATTTAACCAACCACCTAACCTGGCCATCCTGGACTTTCACCACTGATAGTCTGAGAAGCAGGACTCTGTAATACACATCTAGAATTGAGGGCTCCATTTAAGAACCCAGGAAAGTGAAAAGTCTGGAACTGATGTCTTGGGGGAAAAACAGCATCATGTGCTAAGAGTATTCAAGTAGGAACGAGGAAGACCCATAAGGAATGTGAGAGATGGAGGTCTGATGTGTAAAAAAAGATACTCATTTGGCCTAATGCCAGTAATATAAGCAGTGTGAAATCTACAATCAGTATGATTTTGATAAAAACCTAACTTGAAAATCATTTCTACTCCATTTTCATCAAAATTTTGATTGCCAGATAGTTAAACAATTGCCTATTGAAGTGGTCATTAGTTCATATTCCTACTGGTGGGATGATTTCTTTCTCTGGACTTTCCCCTTCTGATTCTTCCAATTTCTTCCAACAGATTTGTTACTTTTATAACCAGAAAGAAGACTTTTTCAGAGCAAATTCCCAAAGACAAGTGCACCCCGATGTTCACTGGAGCACTATCTACAACAGCCAAGACGTGGAAGCCACCAACAGATGCGCTGACTGACGAGTGGATAAACGAGATATGGCACACTGTACAATGGACTGTGACTCGGTGATTGGAAAAAACTGAACTAATACCTTTCCTAGCAAAATGGATTAACTTGGAGATGATCATACTAAGCAAATGAAGTCAGAGAATGACACACAAACAGAGTCACAAGCTTAGAAGACAAGCTCATGGTCCCCAAAGGGAAGAGGTGGGTGGTGGGGAGGGAGGGATAAGTTAGGAGGCAGCTGGGATTAACCTGTACCCAGTGATACCTGTGAAACAGGTACTCAGAAAGGACCTGCTGTATGGCACAGGGAGCGCAATGCTCTGTAATAACCTATATGGGAAAATAATCCAGAAAAGATTGATTTCATGTATATGTGTAAATGAATCAATTGGCTGTACCCCTAAAATAAACACAACACTCTAAGTCAACTACTTTCCAATATAAAATAAACAATCTAAAAAGAAAAATAAAGACAAGTCAGTGATACTCCCCTCGGGCCTTGGTGACCCGGGCTGCTCTCACGTCCTTGGAGCCTGAGGAACCCTGGGTCCAGAGGGCTCCACTGTGGTGGAAATAAAGAGGCTGGGGAGGACGGGCCTGCAAATGAGCCCCACTTGGAGCTGGACTGCCCCATCCCGCGTGGACGGGACTCCAACCTCCAGATGCAGGTGGGTCCTCCCACAGCTCAGCCAAGCCTACTGCACAGGAGGACCGTGGACCTCTGGGCCACAAGAGCTCAGAAAAGTACCTGGTCTCCAAGTCTCCTGGTGCTGCTCCCCCGGCAGCCCCTTCCTTGGAGTCACCCCACTTAGGTACGACAGTGTCCTCAGCATCTCAGTTATGGGAGGGCTTGGGATTGTCTTGGGGGTACACGGTAAGGGAAAAGAAGTACCCAGACATAAGCCCTGGGGTCTTTTTTTCTGGCCCATTCCACTGGAATCTACAAACCAGGAACACAAGTTTATCTTGGACGCTTGTTGCCCAAATAACCTGACTGGGGCATCAAGAAGTGCTGTCACCTGTGGACATTTCCTGTAACAACTTGAAAACCTGTGCTGGGGGTACTTCAGTCACAAGGCCTGCGAGGCTGTAAACGACATCTGGCCTCCAGAAATGTTCTGGAGTAGGTAACTGAAAAGATGCTAAACAGGGAGGACCTTCAAGAAGCCAGTTTTGAGAGGTAAAGTCAACATACGCTTTTTGGATATTTTTGTTTTTTTTGAAAAAAGCACTTAAAATGATGCTCTACATTGTTAATTATTTGATAACTGCAAATCAAAACTACAAGGTGGTATCATATCACCTCACACCAGTCAGAACAGTCATCACCAAAAAGTCTACAAGCAATACATCCTGGAGAGGGAGGGCATGGAGAAAAGGGAATCCTCCTATAGTGTTTTCAGGAAGATAAATTGTTGACAGCCATGATGGGAAAATGATACGGGGGTTCCTTAAAAAACTAGAGCTACCACATCTGTCAGTCGTACTTCTGGGCCTCTGTGTGGAGGAAAACCATAATTTGAAAAGACACTTGCACCCCGACGTTCACTGCAGCACTATTTACAATAGCCAAGACGTGCAAGGAGCCAAAATGTCTATTGTCAGAGGGATGCATGGATGGGTAAAGAAGATGTGGTACATATATACAACGGAATGTGACTTAGCCATAAATAAAGAATGAAATAATGCCTTTTCCAGCAACATGGATGGACCTGGACATGACCATACTACGTGAAGGACCTCAGAGAGAGGACAAATAGCCTGTGATATCACTTGTAGGTGCTATCTAGTTGAAACAAATGAGCATATTTCCAAAACAGAAACAAACTCACAGAGAATCAACTTATGGCTACCAGTTGGGCGGGATCCGGGGGAGGATAGATTGGGAGTCTGGGTTTGACATGTATACACATCTATATTGAAAACAGATAACCAAAAGGGACCTGGCATAGCACAGGGAACTTGGCTCAGTATTCTGTAATATCCTCAACAATTTGGAAAAGAAGAGATACTTGTATAGCTGAAGTACTTTGCTATACATCTGAAAATAACACAAGATTGTTATTCAACTATCATATAAAATTTAAAAATTTTTTAAACATTTGCAGAAGTTCAGAAAAGCGCAGAGAGGACTTCCCTGGTGCTTCAGTGGTAATGAGTCTGCCCGCCAATGCAGGAGACCTGGTTTCGATTCCTTGATCCGGGAAGATCCCACGTGCCGCAGAGCAGCTGAACCGTGCGGCACAGCTACTGAGCCAGTGCCCTAGAGCCTGGGAGCCGCAGCTAGTGAGCGCGTGTGCCCTGGAGCGTGTGCCCCGCAACGAGAGAGGCCACTGCGACGGGAAGCCTTGAGCACCGCCACCGGAGGAGCCCTGCTTGCCACATCTACAGAAAAGCCCGCACAGCAACCAAGACAAGCACAGCCAAAACTAAAAGTTTAATAAAGAGTGCAGAGAACGGAATGATGATTTACATTAACATGTGGAATCTCTTGGCATTTAAAAAAAAGGCACATGATATGACTTCGCTGTGGAAACTCCATTTCCAGAGACTGGTCCCCCACCATAGAGAAGAGCCTAGTTGCTAATGGTTAAGCATAAGAGCTCTTGTCTTCAGAAGCTCTGGAAACACAACGATGTAAGAGCTGAAACTGTCTTGGGGTTTGTATAGATTTTGAATTTACTCTGGCTGCTCATAAAGAAGATTACCGTAATGCAATAATAGTTGAATAATGAATTGTACAGAAAGAGCAGTGTCTATCTATTATATACTGTACATGGTGGATGCTCAACAAAATTGAAAGACTTAGCTTGAGGGTCCAAGGCAGACTAAAGATCCAAATAAAAAAATAAACTTGACTCTGCCAACTGCAAGTCAGGCTGCCCTGGGAAAGTCATTTAACCTCTCTGAAACTTCTCAGCTATTCTTATCCCCAGAGGCAGTGTTTGGGGGTTCAGTGGAAACTGCTATTCTTCAGACTTACTAGGTGACTTGTAAATTCTGAACATTTCATTCTCACTCCAAGCTAGAGATAAAGGCTTAGACGATTGAGCACATGACGGAAAGCATAGGTGTCATTAATACATACTATCTCTGAGGATGGAGATACGATCGCAGAGAAGGCCATTAATCAAACTGGTATGAATAATGTATTACCATTACCTGGATTACAGCTCCCCCACCACTGTTGTCCTGTTGCTCACTGGGCTAGATGGACTGCTGGATAAAAATGAACAGCTACGCCTGACGTCTTAGACGAAATCGACACAATAGCTCAATTAAGAAAAGTAAGAGCGCCACTCCACCTTGGTTGATCCCAGCTTTTGGTTTCAATGACAGCCACTTTAATCAGAGGGGAGGTCCCAGAGACGGACATTGGTGGCTTATTCATTTCAAGGAAGATTGGTTTTCCAAGTATAACTCTTAAGACCTTATGGATCCAGAAGTTCTGTGCATATTTCTAGAAATCCTCTACATGCTTTCTGTATGCATGGCACTATGTGGGACGTAGAGATGCCTCTAAAAAGACTGCACTTTCCTTCCAAGAACCCTACATCTGAGGCTGGGTAACAAGGCTTTTATTCAACACATGTTGGCTGGGTGGCTGCCATCCATAGGCACTGTCTGAGCAGGAGGAACGAGCAGGGGATGGTCGTGTGGGGCCGGGGCTGCCTGAGAGTGGGAAGGAAGCTTCTCTGGAGATGAGCCATGCTGAGTGAGGCCAGGACCTGGGGGGAGAAGAGCAGAGCTGGGGGAAGGTTCCGGATGCAGGGGAGCAGGAGAAGGATGGGCAAGTGCCTATGAAACTGCGAGGGTAGTGAGAAGGTTCCCTGGAGGTGCCCTGATGCTGTGCCTTCAAGCCTACAGAGAATCACATAGGTTGGCGGGGAAAGCCTGTATTTATTTCTAGGATGGCCTCACTTCCCTCATGATCTACTGATGTTTTGCTCTGAGACCTGGTCTGGAGCTCATTTTAGTCCCCTTGTTGAAATTGTAGCTCTCCTTTTCTGATCTCAAAATGACATCAGGACACAGCAGAGGTGACGGCGGCCTCAGCCTGGCTAGGATGCCACCGACGAATCCACTGGGAAATGAAAACAATAGACTGAGGGAAATAAGCCTTCTTCAGATGTCTAGTTTCTTTCTTAATTGCCTACAGGAAGATCCAGACCAGGTGTTCAGTACCTGAAAATTTATGGGTAATTATTTGGCGGCTCAACCCTCGGGCATACTTGGGTGTGATTCTTTTAACACTAAGCAGTTTCAAAATAACAGGGATTTGACGCTTACCTAAATATGATCATTTTGTGTACTTTAAAAGACAGAACATCTGTTTTTCTCTGTGTATTTGCTCCCATAACATCCCCAAACACTCATGTATTTTCCTCCTGTATCATATCCATGGAAATAGTTATCTTTCAAAAGCTGCAGATGTTAATCTAATTCAACTGAGACGATGAACAGTTGAGACTGGCCCCCTATTCAGAGCAAGCCTGGGTTGGGGGTGGGGGTGAGGAGGAGTACAACAGGCTGATGGGACTTAGAACCGTCAACAACCTGTCTCTGCTAAGAAATCTTGTAAGGAAGTGGGGATGACAGTGCCCACCATTCCCCCTGAAAACCGGGTCTCCTTTCGGAAGCCCAGCTCTTGGCTGGCTGCTGGTCATTAACCTTCTTGAACTGACCGGGCTGCCTCCCAAAGATGCCTCCAAAAACAGAACCTTCCTGGAGGTATAGACACTGTTTCCTTCCAGTGAGCTGCCCCAGGGAGGTTTAGGAAGAATCTCCCAGAGTCTTGACCTCTGATCTGAGGACAGGCTGCTCATCCAAAACCAGCAGGTTTGCGTTAGGAGATGGCACTTCGTAAACAGAAATAACCTGGAAACATCTAAGCTGCTATCAACAAAAGTCTCAGTCTAAAAGCTGTCTTCCTGCCTGGTGTACTTCATGGTAACTGCTCAAAGGAGCTACAGATGGAGAGTGGCCACTGTCTTGTTCTCTAGATGAAAAACTCGTGTCTAAGCTAAAGAGCTAACAGCTATAAACCAAAGTAGGTACTAGGAGCTCCTGAAGGGCTGGAAGGGTGATGACTTCCTGATTTTGCATTTCTAGCACCAAATTAGATATCTAATCTAAGATGCTCAGTAAAAGCAGATGAGCAGAAATGAACGTAAGCACGCATGCAGACTCTCTGTGCTGTCCATGTATAAATGGGAAGAAGTCTGAGCAGAGTCCTGAATGTCCATGCAGGGCTTAGTCATCTCTAGTCCATGAGACCTGACTTTGCACAGATGGTGCGGGTGCTGTTAAGATGCTGGGAGGCACATCTTCACACCGCAGGGAAGGAAGCTCAGAAAGCCTCAATCACGTGACCTGTGGCAAGGGCAGGTGGAAGCGGGGCTTACCTGGACCCGTGGCCTTCAGGTCAGGGCCCCTGGGACTTGACTACGTGCACGGAAGCACCTGGAGGGCTTGGTAAAATGCAGACTCCGCTTCTGTAGGCCTGAGGGCCCAGATTCTGCATGTCTGACAACACTGAGGTGCTGCCGCCCCAGTTTTTGCACCACACTTTGAATAATGAGGCTCAA